TTCTATTCTATCTTTCCAGTATTCAAACTTCTCACCATCAAACATGGGAGGTTTGATGCTGATTCTGTCTCTATCATCGTATCTGTTGTTGTATGAAGTTGAAGTTGAAGCTTCAGCAGCCATGATGAATAAAGAACAAGATATTAGGAGTTTTTCTCAACTGGATCTTTTTTTGTCACAGTTAAGTGAAAGCACTTACAAAACCGGAGCTCTGATGCCAACTAAAGGTGAGAAAAACACTTAGAAGGGGGGAGGGGGTTGAATAAAGGTTTTTTAAAACAACTTAGTTGAAAGAAAAATAATACAGTATTTTTATCCTGGTTCGTTTGAACTCAAACTAATCCAGTCCACCATACCAAGGTGATTTGCCTTTCTCAACAAGGACTTAATCCACTATATCAAACTTGATTACAGTGTAAACCACTAAGACAACTGTCTTAGTTTTCTCAAGAAAATCTGACCACAACTTGGTCTTCTTAAGAAAATCTTTTACAAAGATAAACTAACAATTTGTGTTTAAGGTTTTGCTTCTAACAAGCTATATCACAACAGTGATGTTTACACAAAATTAAGAACGAATATGAAAACTGTTAAGCTTGAAGAATATTTGAATGAGAGCTAGTGAGTTGATTTTCTTTCAAATGATTCGTCAACATAGGAAAGATGCTGAAGCTTGTTTAAATACTACTTCAAGTCCTTATTTCAAGGACTGTGCATTGCTGTACGTTCTGCTGCCTCTGTTGCGTTTTTGTCTTCTATTGACTTTTCCTTTCTAGGAAGAGGAATGTTCAGACATGTGCTTTGTGTCTGAATTCTTGTGTCATGCATAAATGAGGAATAGTGTCGTTGGAGCAGACATTGGAATTAGCAACAGATCTTTTCTTTGAACAACATCTTCTTCAACAACTTTGGAATGCCTTGCATCAGAACTTCTGATGATGTTCTTAGTTGTTCAGGTCAGAGTTTAACTCACTCAGAGTTTCTCTATCAGAGTTTGCAGCAAAGTGCTTTAAGCGTGAAATCCTTATCAGAGCATACTTGCTTATCAAAACTTCTGTACTTGCAGCGTTGAGTACTTTTAGAGTCTTCTGAAGCTTTGCGTATGTTCTTTGCTCAAATTCTTCTTAGCTTCGCTCAGAGTCATTGTAGCAGATCAGAGTCTTCTGATGGCTTGCTTCTGACGCTCAGAGCTTTCTCGTTCTTTAATGTTCAGAGGCGTTCTTGCTTCCAGAATAATGTTAATTTTGATATCTGAAACAAATAAACATTTGAACAAAATTAGAGTATATGAATTCTCTATACAAAATTTCATTAATGTTATCATCAAAACAATGAGATATATTGAACATCAATCTGTGTTCTAACAAGAAAGTGTGAGAGAAATTTGAAATTTGTATGAAGAAAGAATGAGTGAATAAGAAAGATTGACACTTGACATGTAAATAGATGAACGATTGAGAATTAATTTGGACATTTGTTAATTACTAGTTCATCCATAATGTAGTGTAATAATTTTTTGGTGGAAGGGAAAATTAGGCAATGCATGCAATCTACTTTTAATGGGTTGATAGTAGATTAAGCATTACATTTTTACAAATGATTAAGGGATATTAGGGATAATCAAGAGATGATTCATGGAAAAAATGAGATAAAATTTGGGATAATTTTTTAGGGTTTAAAGGGTATAAAATGTAGATAAGGGATTAAGGAATAAAAACATGGGGTTCCATAAACTTTTAATATATATTATCATTATCCATTTATTTTCTATAATCAAATGAATGAAATATTTTTGCAATTTAAGTCCTCTGCTCTTGTGCATCGAGACATTTTTCGAAATCGAATATTTCTCTGCCTTTGTTGTGTGAGAACTTTTCAAGGAATAAAAAAAACCAACACACCAACATTTTCTAGAAGAACTACGATACTATGATCCTTCATTAATATGAAGGTACATAGGCATAGAGTTGTAAAGTCTAACGAGTACAATTATGAAAAAACATTTTTAGGTTCTTTTCTTTGTAAATATCAAATTAATTTTTGTTAATAAATAAATAATCAATAATTGGTAATAATAAGCAAACAAATCTTAAGAACACACTAACTCTAGATTTAGAGGAGGATCCCATTGAGCACAATGGAGGTGAGGGGGTGCCTAACACCTTCCACTGACTTAACTGACTCTTGAATCTAGTTTCTCTCCCCTTAATTTTTAGGTTTTATCATTGTTTTTCTGTCTCTTAGGACGAATAAAAGATGATGATGACTTTGTCATTTTGTCGGCTGCAACACTTGTGATTCAAATTAGAGTATTGTGATTCAAATCAGACATTCATGTGATTCAAAACATGAAAAATTGGAAATGAATTCTTGAGTTATCTATGAATCTGATTCGAGTTAGACAAACTTTGTGATTCGAATCACATAGGATTAATCTCTTTTTCACAAAATTTCAAAGTATTTTGAGATTCTACTATATTCATGACTTGAATCATTCACAAACATAGTTCTTGATTAAAAAACACAATATATTGATTTCAATAATATTGCTTAAGATATAATGAAACACTTTTATTTACAAATGCTGAAATATCAATCTAAAAATCAATCCAAAAATATGCAATTGATGAAGAAACTCAATGACAGAAATAACAAAACCAAAAACTTAAAACAAAAGCAATCAAAACCATAACCTTTGAGATATCATATATATGCAACGCAACTTCATAGAATGCATGTGATCTAAATCCAAGATCCATCACACGGATCTTCGCATTTCACACCTAAAGCTTAGCAAGTTGCTCTAACCACCCTACTATATAAGAATGAAGCACGTCATTTTCAAGTACGATTTAAACTTATATTTCATTCACTCATCTTACTCTCATACTTACTCTCATACTGACTTAAACGTTAGATTGCTAACTTTATAGATCACCTCTCTCCTACCTTACTAGAAACTTCAGTCCACTGCAACAATCTACTTCCTTTCATCTTTGATCCATCTTGATTTCATCATGAAACAATATAATATTTTACTTTATACATTTTTCTTATTAATTTATAAAACATTAATGTAATAATGTCAACAACTTTAGTGGAATACTTTGATTCGTCTTTAATGCTCCATAAAGTAATGTAGTATGTTGACATGACGTTGAGTTGTGTGATCATATCATATATGTCATTATATGTATAGACAGCATAGAGAAAAAACCGGTACTTGCCACATCAACAACTTGTATCAATATATTTTACATAACGTTATCTAAGATAAATAAAATTACATAGAAATCCTTATTCTGCTGACATGGCATGCTGTTATTTGCTAATTCATGGATCACTTAGCATTTACATAAGATAGAACCTAGCTCATGTTCTTTCCGTATAATACAAAACAAGAGAATCTAACTTCCATTACTTTTTTATTTAATTATTATTACTCTTTTTCTCCCACAAAATATTATCATTTTAATAAATAGAAAAAATAATAATTTTATTTAAATATATTGTTTATTTTGATCATATTTATAAGAAAAAGATTGTTTTTTGAATTTATTTCATAATTAATATATTTTATTTAAATATATTGTTTATTTAATAAATTAAAAAAGTAATTTTTTTCTTCTAAATAGGATAAAAAAGAGTAAGTGTTACCATTAATTATGCGTGTCTATTATTTATTCATTTTTTATATTGTATGTATGTTGTATAATGTTTTACTTTTAATATTCATTAATTTATATGTTTTGAAATTTAAATTTTTAAAAATAATTTTATCAAGGGAAAAATTTCTAACAAATCAATTCTCAACGAGTAAATAGTTATTTTTTTTATAATTATAGCATAAATTAAAAATGTATTGAGCCTTAATTGTAATTTTGGTCTTCTATTTTTATTTTTATTTTATAGTTTTGATTTCTTTATTTTAAAATTCATAATTTTAGTCTCTCTATTTTTTTATTTATTTTTTTAATCTCTTATTTTAAAGTCCAAAATTTTAGTTTCTCTATTTTCTTTATTTTTTTATCCCCTATTTTAAGTTTTGTTTTATATTTTAGTTTTCTTTTTAATTAAAAAAGCGGGCCACGAGTAAAAAAAAATGAAAATAGAGAAACCAGAATTTTGAATTTTAAAGTAAGAGAATAAAAAAAAATAATAATAAAGAAACCAAAATTTTAGATTTTAAAATAGGAGGATCAAAAATAAAATAAAAATTTAAAATAAGGAGACCAAAATTTTAAATTTAAAATAGAGGAATAAAAAAAGAAAGGGGACCAAAATTAACAATTAAGCCATTAATTTTTTAAAATACAAATTATTAAAAGAAATTTCATATGTAAAAAATTTGGTTAAAAATAATATTCGATTCAAAGTATAAAAAAAATTATTTTTCAGATTTAATAAATAAAAAATGTTTTTGAACTATATATCTTATTGATATATTATTGCTTTAATAAATATAAAAATTAATTTTTTATTTATAAATAGGAATAGATAGAGTAGTAATTTAGTTAGCTTTAAAATTATTTTAATATAATTATATAAAAATACCACAATTTATAAAATAATAACTTCATAAGTAATACATGTAATATTAATAAATGAGAAAAAAAAACTCATCTAGTTTAATATGAATACAATAAGCTTTTGAATATAGATTAACCTCAAACAGTATATTTGTTTATATTTCTTATAATATATTGATGTAAAAAAATTGTTAATATTTTGTTTTAAAATATGATAATAATTTTATAAAATATAATTAAATAATATTTAAAACCTAATTTATTTTACAAATTTGACAATTATTATTTTTGACAGATAGAATAATTTACAATATATATCACAATTACAACAATAATAATAACAATGTATATGCATGCAAATTGCAATACATATGGACCACATATGAAAGTAGCTAGAGATAATAAATAGAGGAATTGAAATATGATACATAGAGATGAGAGATGAATCGTTTTCAATGGAGCAATTAGATTTTAGTCATTGGTTGAGCCTTTGGAGGAATCTGAGATGATTTTCTGTAGCATCTGGTTTGTCTCTTCTTCGGACATTCGCTCGTCTTTACTCTTTGATTTTGCATATCCTTCAAAAAATTCTTTGTTTTCTTTCTCCAGCTCATTCCAAACTGCATTTATTATTATGTATACTTGAAAATAATTATATGTATATCTTTGATTAATGTACGGATGTAATGTGGTTCATAAATGTGACTGTGATATGCAGTAGGCACGTGTATATATATGCTTGGTTTGTGGAATGGATGGAAGGTGCCATAGATAGATGAAACAAGTTAACATGTTTATGTTCCTACTTTATTCTCCTAATATTGTCAAGATGGGAGACATAAATGAATCATTTATTCAACATGTAATCATTGGTTAACAAAATGTTTTCGTCCGTTAAATACGTCGGTTTTGTCTGTTCTTTAGTGTGAGATGAATGAATCAATATTTTCGACTCACATTTTTTTAATGTGTTCGTTCTGCTCTATTTTTAAGGTTATACCTTATAGTATTATCTTGAATAATAGAATTATGATCTTAGAATGTTTAATAATGGGTTAACAATAAAACTCATTAATAGACTTTGATCCACTTTATATAAACATTTTATTTATTTAAGTTTACAAAGTCATTTTTATAAAAAAGTTAAAATATGTTTGTATATACTATAAACTATTTTTATAAACTATCTTAAATAATTTTTGAAGTTGATTTTTTTTTTATATAAAATATGTATGAGTTATTTTCTTATCTTCTTTTAATTAAATAACATCACAAAATTTATGTAAATAAGTTAAATTAAAGAAGTTTTATTTTTATACTGTATATTTCCATAAACATTATACTGTAAGATTTATACTAATAATTATATTTTAAACAAAAATATATCAATTTGATCATATGAATATTATGATAAAAATACTATAATTAAGCATCAATGTTATCTTAAACCACATATCTTCACTCCAAACCTAATTAAGAAATTAGGATGTAGTAGATTTTCACTCCAAGTATAACTAACCATTATAATTTAAATTTAACAGAATATCTAATAATTATGATTGCTTCACATATATTAGCTGCCACAAACAATATTTTGTGATATAATTTTTAATTATTATCATTTATGGAAAATTTAGTAGCTGAGTTTCTAAATTTAAAAGGATTTTAAAAACCGTATTGAAACATGTTTTTTGAGAATTAAACTTATGTTGTTATAATACTCTCAAAATTTATAACTTAATAATAATAAATATTTATTTATTATTCTCTACAAGAAACACTTTATCAAAAAATTAATCAAATTTTTTATTTTTCTCTCTACTCATCTCATTTCAAAATCATCTCTTTCTCTCCCCTTTAAAAGAGTACTTTGATAAATTTTCAATACATGATCAAGCCTTTGGAGGCTTCAATTAGTTTATCAAACAAATTAAACTAGCTATAGTATAAATATGGCATACATATGTATAATAACTATGTATTATTTTAATTCTTAATTCTAAATTTTCGTATGATCACAACTCTTATACGCTTCAAAAAACAAAAACAAAAAAACTTGTCTCTATTATCTCTTCAATTTTGCATGACATGAGATTAAAGTACATATTAATTTTCCATGTGATAATAATAACTCTTAAAAAAAATAAATTAAAGAGTAATTAATTAATTAATTAATTAAAAACATATTTACCAGTGGAAGTTATGACAGGCTTAATTTTTGCATGCTTAGAAAGAGCTTCCATGCATTCTTCCTTTGTCATGTGAAAGATCAAACACTTTTCAATTAAGTGTTGCACCTATTTACATACAAACACATGTCAATAATATGATTAATATGATTAATATGAAAAGAATAGGTTGATGAAACGAAACTCTAGGTCTAACCATATGAATGTATGAAGCAGATGAAGAAGAAGAAGAAGGTTCTCCCATGATCCTAACAAGACTAGAAATGGCAAATATTGTTACTAGTGAAGTTAGGAAAATTGGTGTAAAAGTGCAACTAGGGTGAAGCTAGGTAGGTAGAGAAGAGGTGCAAAAATGATATGATATATGTAGCATATAAGATCCAATCTTAATGCAGGTGAAAGACAGTATAAAGTAGAGAGGGTGGTAAGGTGGGACCAATAGTCCCACGTGAGAGATAAATGATAAATGGCTGAGAGGGGATTAGAAGAGATTGTAAATGACTATTCTTTGTGATTTTGTGTAAATTGCCAAGAGAGGTTTCTGCCTACTTCACGTGATTTGTGGGACCTTGGCTAAATTAAATTCCTCAAAAACAGACAACAAACTTTGATCATCAACAATTATATTATCATGGTCTAATAGTGTGAGTTAATACAATGTTTATAGACACCAAATAGGTGAAGGTAACAAATGAATAAATTGATTGTGTTATTGTACACGAGGGTGAAACTTTCATTTATAAAGTGATTGGAATTCACTTAATGCAATTTCTATGTTAATTGAGGCAATTGAAATAGGTAGGGGAACCTATATCTTGTTTGATTGCACTATAGGCTGACTCTGAAATAGGTAGTGGAACCTATATTTTGTTTGATTGCACTCCATGTAGTTCAGAAATCTGCGACCACGTTGGTGTATCTCGAAAAATACGACTTCACGAGCATTTGCGTGTTTGTAGAAATGATTGAATAATGTCACTACCGAAATTTATTTATTTTAAAGAGGGAAAGGAAAAATACTGATAATTTTTTTTTTTAAATGGTCGTCGCAACCATATTCAAGTTAGAAAGTCAATTATACAAGAGGAAGGTGTTAGCACTTATCACGTCTTTTGTATATTTAATGGAAAACATTTAGTAAGATTTGTAATTGCATGTTAGCTTATGTTAATTGTTTTTTTTTAAGTGATAAAATATTAAAAGGAAAAGAAAAGGGGTCGCAAAAATATTTTTATTAGGCTGTTTGACGAGATTGCGGGTCTCGCTTCTACGTATCCTCAAGTACAATGAGGAATTCAAAGCTACGTGGTTTTTCGTAGAAAACTACGTATTAGTTGGTTTGTTTTATTTGAACAAATTTTTAGTCGATTACACCTGCAAGTTTTGCAGATTTTTAGTGATTCTCAGCACTGCAGCAGCTCCTACTCTTCTTCTTTGGTCTACATCATTTTAGCATCTTGTAGAAGGTTCTAGACATGTGATTACACTAGAAAATATCAGCTACATTTGCTACAATACACCACTAGCAATCATGCTCACCATGCACCCTCATTTTCAATCATTTGGATCGCTTGATCATTGAGTTGCCTTGCGATTCTCCAACCGAGTTAACTAATAACTAACCGAGTTAGACCCCAACTCAGTGAGTTGGGTCTAACTAACCCCAAACCAAATGTCAAACCTCATTTAACTACAAAGATACCCAATTTCAAGCCTAACTCATTCCAAGCCTAGGCTCTATATAAGCAAACTCTCACATTGATGCAATGAAGCTTCTTTTTTATCTTTGGTTATTCTCTCATTTTGCTCTGAGTTTTCACTCTTCATTCTCTGAATTTTCTGCAACTTTCTCTCTCAATTATCCTCATCTTCTTCCCCAAACCCCACTAAAGTTCATCCACCATAAAGCTTAACAAGATTTGCATTGAAGCTTGCTATTGTTTGAGCTATACCTCCATTCATCTCCATTTCACCTCTGAACTCTACAACAACATCAACATTTACTTCAATTCAAACTTTAAAAGTTGATTATTGAAGGAGTTTTGGTACAAATTCAGATCCGACGCAAATATCGCATTATCTTCGGTTTTCTCGCTACGGAATGATAGAGATCTTGGTATTTTCTGGTTTTTCTAAGCTTCTCTCCATCACATTTTGCTTACAACAATTACCAAGGCAAACCTCAGCCTTGTAGGTTGGTGAGTATTACTTAATTTATCGCTTTCGATCGATTTTGCATTTTCGCAATGTAGTGCTTAATTGTTACTTTGCTACTTGAATAATTGCTTTGCATGCTTGATTCTTTTAATTCTTGATTACTCTGAATTAACATGAATTTTGGATCTGCTTCTATGTTATGTTCCATTGTGATTACATGCAATAAGTGATTCCGAAAAGCGCTTTTAGAAAATCTGTTTTTACTATTTTCACAAGTGTAATCGATTAACACATATGTGTTGCACCCCAAAATTTGACCAACAATTATTTATCCATCAAGTGTTTGAAGGTTGATACCTTCACCAGAAAGTTCAGGAGATCCTCAGAGGAATTGGTTGAAACCAAGGTTGTGTGCCTCATAGCTTGAGAGTTGTGGGTGTTCCTCAGATGATTCTGAGACTATGAGGATAGGCTTGAAGCTTTGAGAAAGTCTATGAGATGTCTTGATAGCCATCATGAAGCCCAGAGAGGTCATTGTGCAAGAATTCAGAAGATTCAACCATGAATGGTAGAATTAGGGTTTTGACTGGGTCAACCCTGGGTCAACTGAAGATTTGGAGAGGGTTGAGATCCAATCCAAGGGCCATGAGATCATGGAGTGATGTATGGATATGTTATAAAGATTATTCCTAGACCAACTCATCATTATTGAGGAGTTTGAGAAGTTTCAAGTTAGGGTTTCTGAGGATTGTCAGTGAAAAAACCCTAATTTGATCCCTATCTTCTAGGCAGTTTTAGCTCAAGATGTGATTGATATCTCATCTTCCCCACAACATGAATGTTGTAGAGCTTGTTCTTAGCTTTAATTTGAGTGGTGGAAGTCCTTGATAGGAGTTGCAGAGCTCAAGTTATGGTTTTGACAAATTACAGGTCAGCTGAGGTGTGTGAATTTGGGTCCTTGAAAGTCACCCAACTTGCAGACAACTTTTTCCCTAGTAGGATGATTCCTATGATTTCTTGGTCAACATGAATGTTGAAGGGCATCTTCTTATATTTCTAGAGAGTACTAGAAGTCCTTGATAGGATTTGTAGAACTCAACTTATGGTTTGAACAAGACAGGGGTATTTTGGTCATTTGGCAGTTATAGGTCATTTTAAGCAAAGGCCATATCTCCTAGTTCCAAGCCTCAAATGGAAACACTCAAAACATGAAAGTTGTTCAAAATGGCATTTTAAGCCTAGAAAAGTGGTCATGAGTTATTGAAAAAGCTTGTAGCAAGGATTTACAAGATTGGGTAAAAATGACCTAAAAATGGCTTATAAGTTAAAAAAGTTGAAATGGAATTTTGGTTTAGGAGATGTACAAATCCAAAATGGGTCATCCAATATGTCATTTTGACTCCAAACATTATTTTAAAAACAATGGTTCAAGTAGAATTTTGATTTGAGGTCTCAAAATGGGGGTTGCTTTGTAATTTTCATTCTTGCATAATAAGGCAATTTGAGAAACTTGGCATAAGGCAAAGGTTAGCTTGTTTTTTCACTCATTCTCTTTCAATATCTCACAAGGGGAGATTTTAAAGCCAAATTGACAAGTTTAAGGCATGAGATATGAGATATACCATGTATCACTTCAAGAGAAGTTCTAAAACTTTCCAAATGATTCCACAAGTTTCTAGATGGATCTAGACTCTTCCTTTGGATTGCTATAAGAAGGGTAGATCACCATGAGAAAAAGGTTGGTGAGGATTGTTGGTGAGTGGTGAGATTAGAGTGTAAAAAAGTGAGATTCTTCCATTTGCAACTCCATAACAAACTTTCATTCTCTGCCATTTCCATTCTTTTCTTCTCCACAAACACATTCTTCTGATCCTTATGATTGCTTGCATACTGAGTTAGAGGAAGATCCATGGAGGTTTGAAGCTTCATTGAAGAATTTGCAAGAAAGGCAACTTGATATCAAACACAAGATTCAAGCATTGTTCATCAATCTTTTTGCATACAGAATCCTTATCCTCCATTAAAGATCAATCAGGGAAGGTTGCAGGCATTGAATTGGAGTGAAACCACATCCACCATTACAACTTGACAGGTTGGTGATTTTACTCGTATCACCTTATTTATATACATTCCATCATAGTTCTAGGGTTAGACTGGTTAAGATGAGGTAGAGGACTGTTTTCTGAGAATTTGAGGAAGTTTCATGAAGTTCCATGGCAGACCCTAATTTCTTTCAGTTTCAAGAATGAGTCGTGTATTGGGTATTGATGGGCATGGTATAGTGTAGAATGGCTAGGGTGGCATGTAGAACAATTCTGGATCGTTAGTTTGAAGTTACATCAAGATTGATATCAGTGTAACATGTTGGAACCCTAACTTTCACGCGTTCTGTTTGGATGATATAAGATGTTTCAGTGAAAACTATGCATATGATCATGTTCCTGGTGAGTAGTAGAGCAACTTTGGCTTTGGAATTTTCGATTTTCATGAAGAAATGGAGGAGAACGAGCAGGTAGAAGATTAGGGTATGAGGGATGTTTCAGGGAGCTCGCATGGTGAAACCCTAAGGTCTTTGGGGACGATGACCCACAGCCCTTGGATTACTCTGAGAAATTGACTAAATCATCCAATCCCACGGCCACGATTCAAACTTGCAAATGGAGGGAGTCTGAAGCGCGTAAAACGCAGCGTTCCACTAATCAAAACGCGCCGTTTTGTTTAATTGTTAGACCTGGGCTTCAGCAGATCATTTCTATTCCCACCCCCCTGATTTGGCCCATCTCACAAAATGAACTGAGGCGCATTGCTCATGACACCCCCTCCCCCATTTATTTCATTTTTCTTATTTCAATTTCTTTTAATTTTCTTGCATTTTAATAAATCCATATAAAATTCAAAAATTAATATTTTTTACTTCTTGTTTTTTTCACATATTCATAATTTTGTCTAGAAAATTAATAAAAATAAAAATTCCATTTTATTTTTCTTTTGATATTTTTAGCATATTATTCTTGTAAATAGTCTTTTTAATTGATTTTAGTTGATACCCAATTTTGTACAATTTCTTTTAGGACTTTCCCTTAGGAT